CTGTACTCTATAAAGTGGTGTTTCCCACTTCCAGCCACCTTTTCAATGAAAAACTTTTTGAAACAACAAAATGTGTCCATTCAACTGAAACTATCTCAGTTGATGAGACAGTCAAGCCATCAAAAAGTCGACGTGATCTACACTTTGCTCTTGAAGCAATAGAAAACGTTTTAAAGGATGACAACACCCTTTTGGTGAGATATTATGAATTTGTCAACAACGTTTTGAAAGGAAAAAATGAGAAAACTGAACACATTGAAGAATTTGTTGTCGAAGAAACAGGGAATAGACTCCGACCCAGTTTAGTGGTCACTAAATCTACAAGTGGTAGGAAGTCGATTTTTATAACAGAAAACGAAGAAAGTAGTAACACTATCGTAAAAAGAAAGTCGCTAGTTAGCACCCAAAAATTTGTTGACAATCTGACTGAACCATCGCGACAATTTCAAAAAGGACCAAGACCCAGAATAATGGTCGAAATGGTGACGCATCCAGGAAGAGTAGTTCCACCGAAACCACCTGTTTTTGGTCAGGGTTTGAATAAAGTTGAACCAAACGCTTCGGTCAAAAGAGTGTACCACTGTAAAAAGTGCGGTCAAAGTGGTCATAATTCGAGAAACTGTTTTTTGAATTAGAAATTACTTTTTTATTTATTTAATAATAATTTATTAATTAATTGTTTGTTTGTTATAAATAAGAATGTTAAAAAAATGTCAATGAGCATTGATTAGAGAGTTTGTGTACTGTATCTACATGGTTTCAATTTAAAGCGTCTTGAAAACTTCTAAAAACAACTAGTCTGATGTGATGATTGATTTTTTGCAACGGATACAACACGTATTTAGAAGACATTTCGCAGTGAAACTTGAAGTGTCACAATAAAAGTACAACATTTTGTAAAACCCGACACTTAAAGAGGCGTATCATTTGTGAAATGCCTCTCTACAAGTATTAGCTAGTTAATCAATACACAGACTGAGTTTTACAAGACACTTGTTGAGAAGGCGCACAAATTCTTTCCAGGGAAGATCCAGATCATGCCGAAGTGCACACTATGCGGATTTAACTGGTTCAATGAGTACTACACTCCCGGTGTATCTCGCATTTCAACAAACATCCATGACAACAACGACTCATCACTGTTGTATACGATGCGTGGCAACTTTGTTGGTGTTGTCTCGGACTCGACACGAGTGCTTGACGTGTTCGAGTTTTGAAAACCCACAGTCGTAATACACAATTGTCCCTGTTCTGTGAATGTTACAGAACCTTTCCACACAAGTTCTGGAACAGCGTCTATGTTCATAGGTTCACCATTTGTGAATGCCTTTCTGATAATCGGAGTGATGCACTGATCCTTTGCCGATTGTACAAATGTGGTGTTCACTTCAAACCTGTTTACGTTCAAAACAGCCTGATTGTCTAATGCATCAAATACAATTTCACCAGCCATGTATTGTAAGAGTGAAGTACCGAATGATTCAAATGCATAAATATGTGATTTTTACAAGCAAAA